GGCTGCTCCACTTCCATCCAGCTCCCCGCTTGTGGCCTGGGAGGGCAGTACAGGACAGCCCAAAGCCTTGGGACTCTACACCCACGTAGGAGACCCAGAAAAAGCTCCTGACTCCTGGCTTTGGATCAGCTCAGCACTAGCTGTTGTAGATACATGGAGAGTGAGCCAGCAGATGAAGATCTTCCTCTGTCTCTCCTTCTCTCTATAAATCTGCCTTTCTGGTTAAAACAAATAAATCTTTAATAAATAAATAAAATTAAAATTAAATAAAAATAGGGACTGGCATTGTGGTATAATAGATAAAACCGCTGCCTACACTGCCAGCATCCCATATAGGAAGTGGTTTGACTTCTACTCCGGTTGTTCCATTTCCAACACAGCTTTCTGTTAATGTGCCTGAAAATGGCAGCAGATGGCCCCAGGGCTTGGGCCCCTGCCAAAAACAAAGCCTCAGAAGGGAGGAGGGTTCTGACTCTTGATGCCACAGGTGAGCCTGGACACCTTTCTGCAGAGTGAAACAAGCCAATCACACAAGGACGAAGAGAGCATGATTCCACTCAATGGGAGCTGTCTAGAGTGTGGTCAAACCTACAGAGACAGAAAGTAGAGTGGCAGCTGCCATAGCCTGAAGGGTGGGGAACAGAAAATCACTTTCAGTTGTTCAAGATGAAAAGGATTTTTGGAGATAGATGACAATGACGGTGGACAACAATGTGAATTACCTGATGTCATTTTAAGAGTTTATGCTTAATTAGTTAAGAGGAAATGTTTTAGGTTATTGCATTTTGGGGCCTGGTGTGATAGCCTAATAGCTAAATCCTGACCTTGAATGCACCAGGATCCCATATAGATACCACTTTGTGTCCCAGCTGTCCCTCTTCCCACCCAGCTCCCTGCTTGTTGCCTGGGAAAGCAGTAGAGGACGGCCCAAAGCCTTGGGTCCCTGCACCTATGTGGGAAACTCAGAAGAAACTCCTAGCTCCTGACTTCGGATTGGCTCAGCTCTGGCCTTTGCAGCTACTTGAGAGTGAATCAGAAGACAGATCTTTCTCTCTGTTTTACCTTCTCCAAGTTTCCAATAAAAATAAATGAATCTTTTAAAAATTAAAAAATAAAAAGTTTATGTGCATTTTGCCAAATTTTAAGAGCCTTAATGTTAGATACAAAACAGCACCTAAACAGCACGACTACTGAGACCAGAATGATGGCAAAACCAAGTTTATTGAGATCTGCTCCCGGGTGAGGTTCAGCGGTCTGCAAGGTAGCTAACTAAGGTAGCCGACTGGTAAAGTCGCGCCTGCACAGAGCCACGTACTCCTCAAGTAGTGGTGATGATGGGGTAAAAGTATGTGTTGTCTTCTGATTGGTCAACTCCATTTTAAATGGGTCTAGGGCAGCTATTCTTGGCGGGAACTTTTGGTGTAACCTAGGGGCTTTCTGCCTGTTTCCCCTCCCCAATCCCCGGGTCCTCTGGACTAACACTGAATAAAACAAGAGCTTTATTAAAATTTTATTTCCAAAACCAAGTTGCATTTTCTGGGTATCAAGTATGCAGGGAATGGTAAGTGCTGGGTCCTGGTTAGCTATTTAATGGAAGCAAAGAACAACATCAATCACAAAAGGCTTCCTGGAGTGGGCAAAGTGTTCGGGCTGACAAAAGGCCAGAGGAAAGGAAGAACACTGGTGTTGAGTGGTTCTGTATCAGCGCCCATCTGGGCTCTAGCCCTCAAGCTCATTTCTCTTTGGTTTCTAGGGAGACAGGGAACTCAGAATGTCCACATTGCTGTCACTTGGTGACCAGGAACTGGTGGCTGCAGCCACTTGCCAGGTTCTTCCCATCATCCTGGGCCCTCATCTCTGGCATGGGTTCTGTTCTGCCTAGGTAGTAGGTACCCGTCCAGGGAGGCACCTGCCATCTGCTTCCCAGGCCTCCCAGGGCAGCCCTGGACTCCAGCTGGTGGAGGAGGTAAGTCCACAGAAACTGCATGAGTCAGATGCAAAAATTCTGACCTGGGAATCCTCTCACTGATCCTGGAGCCCAGGGGAGACAGAGCTCACCCTAACCTTTCAACATACAGATGCTGACACCAACTCCCCAGTGACCACTGGGACACACCCTTCTAAGGCATGGATCACCCTTAGTTAGGGGAGAGCACAGAGCCGCCACTACTCTCCTGCTGGCTCTCAGTCTGTACCTACCTACCTACCTATCCAAGGTATGAGCCAGAAGTGGCTCTTGACCTACGTCAGGTCACGAGTGGCTGGGAAGAATCCCCAGCCCACTCCCTTGGCCAGGAGCCCTGAGATACCTCCTACTCAGCCTCTCCAAGCTCCCGGGGGTGCTGAGCCCCAGAGTGGCTGGGCTGAGTCACACAGCCCCTTCCCCTCCTAGTCCATAGTGCTAGTTCCTGGAGTCGGCTCTTAAAAAACAAACCACTCAAAGCCAGCACTAAAACAGATTGATGGTACCTAACAGGGATGCACGCTGCGACCAAATACATGAAAAGCCACGGGTGGGAGTGACAGAGCTGAAGGCCTAGGTGCAGGTGGCCAGAGGTTGTACATGATCTGTTTATTTGTTCTTCAGTAAGCAAAGCGAAATTTATTAAGTAAAGCAATACAAAATAAGCCCCTTAAAAAAGTAATAAAACTGACCAAAAGTCATGTGCTTTTTGCTGTCACCATGAACTAGATTCTAATCAACTTCCATAACAAAGTTCTCCTTTTTACTATGACTGACAGCTCTCACCATCCCAGGCCCATCCCTCAGCACCCCTTTGACACCAAATGCACATAAGAGAGAATAATGAACTATGGGCCACAGAGCCCTGGGGAAGCATCACTCGGAAAGCAGCAGCAACCTTCTGATCACGCAGAACTAGCTGCAATCACGCCTCTGTGCCTTCACACACGCTCCTCCCGCCTCCCTTTTGTTCCGTAATCCACTCCCAAGCATCCATCATGGTTCTGCAGTCAGCCAACCCATCCTCTGGGAAACCTCTCAGACTCTTGTTCATCTGGGCCTGGCTCACAGCAGGCACTTAGGAACAGGGCCGCCACTGTGCCAGCATCTCTGTGTATTGCACAGCCTGCTCCACCACCTGGAAAAAGCCAAGCCCTCGCAAATATATTGAAGGAAGGAATGAAGCCATCAGGGTTTTCCTTAACTGGGGCGGGACATTAGAAGCAGAAGTAAGCAATAGCAGCGAAGCTGAAAGCTGGGGCTTCCCAGTGGAAGGGTTAAATGGCTTTATGTCACAGGTGGTATGCCTTAAACAGTTTTGTCACAATGAGCTTTAGCATCGCTCACTCACCTGTCTTCACCTCAGATCTCCTCAGCCAGAGCCTATGCAGATGGTGCTCCAGAACCTAAGGAAATCCTAGGAACACAAAATTGGGAGAAGCATGGTGTTGGCTGACACAGTGCGTCCTGGCCTGCAAAGGGAGGAGGCTACACTGAGAATTCATTCATTCAGCAGTCGTCCATTCTGTCTCTCAATTAGAATGCATTGGCTCTGAATGTCACTCAGGGATAGCTGTACACAAGGCAGGATGGCCCCTTCTGCCTCGTCACAGTCTACTGGGAGAACAGGCATTTCAAAAAAAAAAAAAAAGGAATACATATCTAATACAGTGGCAGGTTAGGGTTAGAGTTTAGCAATGAAGAAGGCAGGACAAAGGTTAAAGAGTGAGGTTATTCTGGATGAGGTGGTCAGGAAAGCACCCCACTGATGGTGGGAAGGGGCTACTTGGAAGGGAGGGGCAAGCCGGAAGATGTTTTGGGAAATAGCATTCCTGTCTGAGAAAGCAGTACAGCTAGCCCTCTGCCCCTGTACTACAGATGGAAAACAGCTTCAAAGAAAAACTTGTCTGTCCTGAACATTTTTTTGTCAGCATTCCCTAAACAGTACACAGCATAATAAATATAGACAAAGCATTTGCCCTGTACCAGGTAGTATGCATCTTCCAGAGGTGACTGGAGTGTACAAGAGGCTGTGTGTTCTAGGCAATATTATTTTCTATAGGAGATTGGAGGTGAAAGATATCAGAGAGGCACAGGGCTGGGGCAGGGGCCGGCTGACTGTGGAGGGAGACATGTGTTTTTTTGCAGAATGTAACACCTGTGAGATTCTCACGTATGTTTTAAGAGTCTCAGGTGGCAGAGTGCATTAATCAGTCAGGGCTGGAGGGGGACAGGGCAGGGGCTAGGACCAAACATTCAAATTGAGTGCTGACCACTTGAGTGGTCACTATGAGTGGACTCCAGGAAGCTTGCTGAAGAAAGAATGCGTGATAAAATTCATGACGGGGAGAAGCAAAAAACAATGATGGAAATTGGGTAGTGGGTCAGGACTGCCGGCTCTGAGGTCCAAACCGTCCTCTGGAGGAAGTGGTTTCAACTCTCTGCTCTCCTTTGTCATCAGCAGATGAGATGGGGATGTGGGAAATGGAAACTGCCGCGTGGTTATGGAAAGGGGTGATATCCAAGTTTCAGTCCACATCGCAGCTCAGAACAAACACTTCCTAAAGGTTAGCCCTGGAGCCACATTGTCAGTTCCAGAACAATGTTGGTCACTCGCTTTTGTTAAGTGGTCCCTCTGCACCTCAGCTTATTCATCTGTGAAATGGGAATAAGATTAATAGGATTTGCGTATGGTTGGGTGTGAGGGTTCAATGAGGGACACAAGTACGCTCTAACAACTGATGTGACTACGTTTTGGGAACATTCTGTCATCTCTCATCTCTTCCACAGTGCAACACACCCCATTTGCGGATAGGAAGACTGTGACTTACAGCCAGCCTCGGGAGAAGCGAACACCTTAGGTTGTTCTGGCACGAGAGTCCCAGTTTCGCAGGCTTCTTCTTTCCGTCTGCCACGCTTCCTGGCGGAACCTTTAAACACAGCGTTCTTGTTCCCAAGTCGAGCCTCCTTGCGCCGCTGCGCTAATGCGCCGGCGCTTGGAGCTACTTCCGGACGCTGCGCCCCACCCCTCTGGGCGTCTCCATTTTGGCCGCTGGTGGAGACGTCTGGCCAGAGAAGGCGGAAAGCGGAGAGGTTCGAGCTGATTGAGCTGACCGATTGCACTCTGCCCCTTCCCCGCTCTCCCCGCAGAGACGCCGCGGACGCTCATGGCGGGCTTGGAAGTGCTGTACGCCTCGGCGGCGCCGGTCATCACCTGCGCGCAGGACGCGCTCGTCTGTTTCCTGCACTGGGAGGTGGTGACCCACGGCTACTCCGTCGTGGGTGCCGGCGACCAGGTACGCCGAGGAGGAGTGGGAGCGCCCGCTACCCGAGCCAGAGCGCCTGCCCTTCTCTCCCTCCCTGAGTGCAGAGCCCTGGATCCACGACAAACTTACAGGCTGGGCGTCCACCTGTCCCAGTCTAGTCCGGATCCTCCCCAACTCCAAAAAGGTCCATCTGTCCCAGCCTAGCCCGGATCCTCCTCCAACTCCAACTCTAACAAACAAACAAACAGAAAACAGCTGTCACGACTACTTGTAAACTTGCAGAGACAGCATAGCTGGGCAGTCTCCCAGGCCCAGCTTGTCTGAATCTCCGAACCCCAGACTTCTCACCCACCTGACTCCCCTCTAAACTCTCCTTACCACAAAGCCACGAGATGGGCTGGGGTGTATAGGGAACTATCTATCCCTTGCCAATCCTCTGCGGTCGCGGGCTTCACCCCACTCAGTCCTGAACCGGGACCTTTTCTTTACCCCTGAGCAGGGGCCCACAGTGTTCACACATCCCTCACCGCTTCCTGAAGGACCCAGGGCAGTCCACTCACTGTTCACCTGCAGCTCAGGGTTTAACTGGGGAGATCCCTGCACACACCCCTTGGTGTGAGAGTTGGCTAAGTTTTGCTCCCCACAGGGCCACTGCCTTCTATTTTTCCCGTCTCCAGGCTGTGACTCCTAAAGGCTGCAGGCCTGCTTCCTCCATCTGGGAAAGCTTCCAGCCTCACCCCATCTCATGAGCACCCTGTGGGCACTGAGAGTACCAGAATCGCCACCCCCCATCAGTGTCCTGTCATTCTCAGATCCTGGAGCCAATCTGAAAAGCAGGCCATAACCACATGTCACATCTTGCTGTGGGATTTCTACCTTTTTCTCACTCCTTAACTGCTCTGATTCTAGAACCCCTGAATCCTTTCTCGTTTCTGACATTTGCAACCACAGTCTACCCCCCACGTACCTCCTGGAACATGCTCTATGTGTACTGAGTTATCCTCTTAACTCCTGCCACTGTTGCCCTGCTCTTCTCCATCCCTTAAGACTAAGGTCCAAGACCAGCATCGGCACTTGCGCCATTAGCAGGAATTGGGACTCAGTTGTTGTGAATCTCTGGCTCTTGGTTTTCCAGCTTCCAGGATCTCCTGGGGCTCCCGGGAGCACACGTAGCATCCCTGTTATTCCCACTTCAGGCTCACACAGATGTCATCACGTGAGCTCTAAGACTGGAGATGAGGCCAGATAAGAAGGGCCAGCCAGCCTTGTACACAGAGAGATCAGGAGCTGGGGCTTATCAAAAGCTTCTGTCCCTGGTCTTTCTGTTTGCGGCACTCACTCTGCCTTTCAGCATCTTAGACCTTAGGACCAGCCAGAGACAGGCTCCCCTTCATCTGTGGTTCCCCACCAGAGGCAGTGTCTCAGTGCTTGCCCTACCCCAGCTTTCTGATATTCCCTAGCCCTCTCATCTACCCTGATCATTTTATTTCTGCTTTCCCCAGGAAAGTTCTGGAGAGCTGCTGTGTAGGCTGATGTGGGCAGGTGCAGTGAGATGAGAGAGAGGAACAAGACTTAGCTTTGCAGAAGGGACAAGTCTGCCCTACTCTAAGCCCTTCCCAGGGGCCTCCTTCCCCTCCTTGCTCTACCCAGCCCCCTCCTGTCAGGACTGTGAGGTGGGCCTGCCTGCCCGCCATCCCCTCACACATGCTCTTAGCACCCCTCTCATTCCGACAACTTAGAGATGTGAGTTCATTCATATGGGTAGATGCTTCTTTCAGCTGACATCTTCCTCTAGGCCCCCCCAATTACAAGTAAAATGCACAGAAAGAATATGATTTCATTTTAATACTGAGTTTTCTATCAAGTACAGATTCTTGATCAGTTCCCCAAGGGCCATGTTGTTCTCTAGCTGTGGTGCCATGTATTACAGGGCTTTGCATGCCAGACAAGGGTGTGACATGTCTGAGGAACCCCAGGAGCCTGGAGGTCGGGGTTCTTAGAAGACATCACCTACTGACTGCCCACCCCGCACCTTCAGAGGGCACAGGTGTTGAGGCTACAGACTGGACGGGTGTAGTTTCACTTCATTTGGCCTTTTCTCAAGTATCGTTTTAGGTTCAGGTTGCACTGTCCCCTCCTATCCCTTCCATTCAGTCTGCTCACACTTAGAGTGGAAGCTATCGGAGAGACATTGTTCCTGTTAGTTTATTTAAGACAGGGTTTAATTTTCTGGCCTGGGACCAGCTGAGACCAATAGCTTCTGCCAAGTTCAGAGGATGTTTGTCTTGCCTCTCTAGCCACCGCCTTCTGGGAGTGATAAGAGGGAGAAGGTCTCAGGAGTGTGTTCTTAACTGTAGAGCAACAGTGAAATTGAAACTTAAGATGTCTGCTCTGCTCTTTGGTTGTGTCTGTTCTGGTATAGGGTATTGTGTGTATAAAACTTGGTTAAAACAGAGGTGCTGCCATTGGTTTCAACAATAAGCTCATATTTGAATTTGGATTTCCTTCTTAAGCTCCCCATTAAGAGCTTGGCAGCTGTGGTTTAGGTGGCAAGGGCAGAGATATTGCCTTGGACTTAAGTTAGAGAAAGTTGTAGAAATCTGAAGCTTATGAAGAAAGAGAAAATGCTCCCAAATAATTCATTTGTGTTTGTTTGCACTGAGATGAGCTCCTGGCTGTTGAATGCTTGCAGCCCCAGGATTTTACCTGGGAAGAAAATCACTTTTATTCTCTGGAGGCTGGTCTGGTCCAGCTTAGTTTGGGTAGCTGGGAATTATTCTGAATTTCAAACCCAGCTCAGCTTCTGACTTGCAGCAACCTTGGGCAATTTGTCACCCTGTGGGAGCTTCAGTTTGTTATCTGAAGGAGTAAAGTGCACGGTCATGCACTTTGCTTGCTTTCCAGCTTGGCTGTCTGGGACACTTGCTGTTTGAACTCAGGGCCCAGAGGGCAGCTGAGTGCTGTGTTAGACCAGATAGCCCCAGGGTGTGTCCTTCTCTGTCCTATCTCTGCTTTTGGCGGAATGTATATTCACCTTCAGGGCAAGCGAGGAGCTTTACCTGACCTCAGGGATCCTCTCTTACTCTGGAAGCCAAAAAGTGATGGGGTGGTCAGCAAACCAGATTATTGATCTCAAAGAGAATTCTGATGATTGCACGCTCTGCATGCAGGCTGTAACATAAACGAACAAGTCCTTGACAGGGTAAAGCTAACCTGGGTCACTGGATCCCTGACTTCCAAAGGCAGCTTGAAGTCAGTCCACCCTGCCCAACAGGGTGCAAAAGGGTGGTTGTGAGTTTCACTTTTGCTTTTTGTCACGTTCATTTCCCAGGCTTGGGCAGGCCTTTGAATTTCCCTTGGATGGAGCCAGGCTTCAAACCATGCCATTTGTCACATCCACTTGCTCCAGTGGATTCCTGAAGGGGGTGGGGGTGTCGATGTTGAGGAGGGAGGCTTGAAGTGCTCAGTTTGTTCCCTGTGTTGGCCTGGGACTTTGTATCCTACCATCAGTTTTCATCTTTGGCCCCACTTCCCTGCCCTTTGCCCCAGTACTCTCAGAGATACACATCTTCCCAGTGTTCCCGCTCGTGTTGTGCAGCACAAATGCACAGCCATGGGAAATATGTGGTATATTTTTCTGAATATTTCACATTTTTATGTGAATGATGCCAGACTTAAGTCTCATTTTTTAAAACTGTCTTAGAAGTGTGTTTTGTTTTGTTTTTTAACTTTTGTACATATTGTTGCCGTTAGAGCTGCTTTGTTTCTTCTAATCTATGTAATGCTGCTGTCAACAGCTTTTATGTACTTAACCTTCCTTTGTTCTGCTCTAACCACGGCTGTGATGAAGATCCCCCTGCCACCCACATCCCCTGCATATTTACACAGAATTTTTTCCAGGAGGATGGATTTTGGTTCATGGAATGTTGACTCACCTAATCATACCAAATATTGCTAGATTGCTCCCAAAGGGCCTGTGTGTGTTTAAATGCCTATCAGGGTGCCTGCCTTTTCTCCTCACACACGTTCAAACATCTGACAGAAACTAGAAGATGGATAATCCCAGGCTGGTGGCTGTAACCTGGGGATCTGTTTATTTCAGCCGGGGTTTCCCTGATTGTTAGTCAAGTTGAACAACCTTAGTACTGGCATGCCTTGAGCTGCTCGTGTCATTGCTCGTGCTTTGGCCAGTGTTAGGGTTCCTGACTTCTTGTTTGCAGGTTACTAATTCCTCTCATTGGCATCCTAGGAAACCCTCTCTTCCACACCTGGGGCTGCTCTTACCGTTTTCTGTAGGTAGCACCTCTTGGGGTTCAGAAACTATACATTCTGTCTCAAGGAACCGTTTTTTTTGTTTTTGTTTTTGTTTTTTTCCTTTCATCAAGAAGTCTTCTCTCACCAGGAACTCACTGTATTCATTTTTATATAGAAAACAGTTGGGGAACGCTTCTCAAACTTACGTATGTAAAAGGAAAGCCCTAAGATTATTAAAGAGGAAAAGAAAGGAACACATCTCCACCCACGATGAGAGGCGTTTTACAGCCACCAAGCAGGCAGGGCTTGGAAAGTTTTGGAGTGGGGATGTTGCTGACTCTTTGGAGCCATGGGAGTTCTTGTGGCTAGTGAGTGGGTAAATCAACACCTTTTGGGTAAATACTTTGACTTTATTTTATAAATGGAAATTTTTTCTTCTGGGTATACTCTATAGAAATTCATCCCCATGTGTGTAAGAATGATCACAGTAGTACTGTTCATAATAGCTTAATCAATAGACTTGACATGTTCCTAATTCCCAACAGTGAGTGTGCAATTCAGCACACTCACCTGGAGCTGTGACAGTGAGTTAGCCATTGTTGAAGGTTGGACCAGGATGGTTCTCCATTGAAAAAAAAAAGTACTGGAATTGGTGTCTTTTACACAACATTCAAACACACTCGAGAAAGTGGATGTTTTTAATTACATGCAGAGCAATGTAACTCTAAGGGAAAGCGCTTTTTAAAAATAACCCTGGAGGAGGACATTCTTCCCCCATCAGGGTCCCTGGGACAGATTTGGGGGACTACCTCTGTCCGTGGTGGTGATGTGATCTGGCAGCATGGAGCCATGCAACACTCCCTACCCCACTCCTGTAGTCATGGGGCAAAGGGAGAGTGGGGTCTTCTCCTTCACCCCCCATCCCACCCAGAGACCTGCATGGGTCTGTAACCTGCTCAACTATGTAACATACATTTAAAAATCAATAGTTTTTGTAAACGATCACCCGTGAAGGGAGAGGAGTGGGATTCTTTGGGGTTTGCTGCCCAGGGCCTTGGTGGTATTGCTGTAATGGCTTCTCCAGCTTCTGGCAGCTGCACCGGTGTCTATTCTGTAATCCTCTCCCTGCCTTGTACAGTTGCTGCATTTTGTGTCTATAGGAAAATTGTTTAGAATTTTTGTTCAAATACTGCATTTGGTTGGAGGGTTTGGAGGCTACCAGAGTATCTAGTTTCAGTCAACACTTTGTGACCCTCTTGCAGATGGTCAAGATACAAGCCTTGAATTGAGATGCTCACAGTATCCCTGAGAAGATTGGCTTTGTTCTTGTCAGGGGCTGGAGAAAGGATGCTTTGTCAAACCAAAGCTGCACATTATTGGTAGATGCCAGTGCTTCATTGTAAAGACAGCCAGGTGGGAGGGAACAGAAGAACAGGAGTCCAGAGCCTGGGGTCCTAGGCCTCTGGCTTCTCTCAACCTCAGCCATGTCCCCCAAATCCTCGGAGTGAAGGGAGGGGTGGGAACTGACTGCTTCTGAGGTCTTCCGTCACTCTGTGGTGTTAGGTCATAATCCTTGTCTTTTCAACCCTGGTGTCTTTCAGCCAAGTCCCAGTGATAAGAAATCAGAACTGCTGCCGGCTGGGTGGAACAGCAACAAAGACCTGTACATCCTTCGGTATGAGGCCAAGGATGGGTCCAAAAAGCTCCTCGTGAAAGCTGTCACCGTGGAGAATAGCATGATCATTAACGTGTTGGTGAGTCTCTGAGATACTTGGGGTCCCCTGAGGGGAGTGGGGAGAAGAACAGCCCTTTTGAAGCCCATCTAGCAGTACTGATGCGGCACTGTAAATGCTATGAAATATTTGCCCGGGGACTCCCTTCTAGAACTTCATACCAAAGTGAGAAAAGTTTTGTGCATTTTTATTCCATTTTTTAGTTTTCCTGCCTGATATCCACCACTGCTTGGGTTCTGCTCTAGTATCTGTGTCCTGTCACTGACTTAATTTTAATTTTATTACACTTTTGTCTTGGTTGTCCATGTGGGTTCACATAAAACTGTCTTACTGAATGTATTCTGTGCTGTACTTTTTCAGTATGCATTGGAGGTGTTTAAATGAGACTACATACAGATAGATTGCATTCATTTTGACTACTGGTTATGTAGTAGTCCATTATCCTTTCCCTTCTGGTGAACACTTAGGCCTGAGACAGACTTCTTGGGTATGAGCAGTAAAATCTCTTAGGGTTGATTGAAGCTTTAGAAAGTATGTAGTACACTGGGTATACCCATGTGGGAGACTTAGAAGAGGCTCCAAACTTCTGGCTTAGGCAGGCAAGAATTCTACCACTGAACTACCAAGCACTTGGACTTCTGGCTTTGAATTGGCGTAGCTCCAGCTGTTGCGGTCACTTGGGGAGTGAATCAACAGACAGAAGATCTTTATCTCTGTCTGCTTCTTTCTGTATATCTGACTTTCTAATAAAAATAAGTGGATCTTTTTTTTTCCAAAAAAAAGTGTGTAGTACAGGGTAGAGACTGGGGACTTTCTGACACAGGTACAGCTCTGGACTTCCCCGAGCGGGGCCCAGACCCTGCTGTGGAAACCGCCACTGCTGCCACCACTTCCCAGCATTAGGTGGTGGCCAGGGCTGCCACTATTGGTATCTTTTCTCAACAGCCACTAATGTTGTGACCCCTGCAGTCTTGGCTGCTACCATTGTTAACAAGATTTCTGCCCCTTGCTGACTTGCTTCTCCGTATTGCTCACCTCAAAGTTGTGCATCTATTTGGTACCTCAATAATGATGGTGTGCCTGAGCTGCCGGAGAGTGAGGGAAGTGGGTTTTCTGGCCTCAGAAAGGCAGCATCCCTAAATCAAAGAAGTCCCCAAGTTTTAGAGGAATATTTCACAGATTGCAAACCACCCTTCTTTTAGTGTCTGTGAACGTGTGAGCGTTTCTCTACGTTGTGTATTTAGGTGTTGTCCCCGCCCCTCCAGTCATTAGTCCAAAAACATCCCTGTCTTTTGTTTTCTGTTTTCATTTTTCTAGGAATGTGGCTCACAGCAAGTGGCAGACTTGACTCTGAACTTGGATGATTATATCAGTGCAGAAGACCTGGGTGATTTCCACAGGTACTTCTCAATGACATCTTTTCTGTAAGAATAGGAAGAATGGCAGGGCGTGAGAGCTCAGGAGAGATGTCTAGAGACAGTTGAAGAATGCTAGCAGAACTTGCCCCTAGTAGTACATAATCACTTCTCAACTGTCTCTTCTGTTTTTAATTTTCTGAGAGAGAAGAATCTCACAGGGAAGTGCCATGTGGAGTACAAAGTAATCGCGAGTCCACAAGTGCTACAGTGGCTTCACAGTTCAGCAGGAAGTGCCGAGTTCCCAAAGCCGCTTGCCTCTGGATATACACAGCCTCACCTGTTATCACTTGCCAGAGAAGGACATGGATTATAGTGAACTGAGATTGACAGGTCATCTGTATCAGGGCTCATGCTGTGGGTTTGGTATTTGTATACCAACAACTATCCATTAGAGTATCGTGTGGAGTGATTTCATTGCCCTAAAACCCCTCTGTGCTCCATCTGTTCCTCCCTGCCAGCCACAGGAAACCACTTGCCTTTTTACTTTTCCCGTTGTTTTTGTCTTTTCTAAAATATTACATGATTAGAATGTGATTCCATACATAACTGCCTTCCAGAATGGCTGTTCCATTTTACACTCCCAGTAGTAACACACATGAGTTCCTGTTGTTTCACACCCTTGTTAGCATTTGGTAGTGTCAGGGTTTTGGATTTGGGCCATTCTAATAGTGGTGCTTCGTTGTTTTAATTTGCACTTTCCTAGTGACATGTGATGTAGAACATCTTTTCATGAGTTTATTTCCCATCTGTTCTTCTGAACAGAGCTGTATGTTCATATTTTTTCCTCCTTTCAAATTGAGTTGTTCAGTTTCTTGTTGTGTTTTAAGACTCCAGATATCTCATATAGCCATACTTTATCTGACGTGTGTTTTACATGTTTTCTGCCAGCCAGCTTATGGTTTATCTTCTCATTCTGTTCACACCCTACGTTTTTTATGTTGACATGGATTACAGAAATGCCATGTGTTCACCCATTCACCCATCACGTAGACTCACCAATTTATAACATACTGCCCATTTATTACTTCTAATTTTTTCCTTATTCTTTTTTGTTCTTGAATCATCTCGGAATTATTTGCAGATTTTATAAACCTTCATTTCTAAGTATTTCAACATGTGTCAAAACTAGGACGTCCTCCTATAGAATGCTGCTACTCACACTTAAGAAAGACAATATTGATATAATGTGATTTAATATTCAGTTCAAGTTCAGATATGTGCAGTCATCCCATGATGCCCTGTTCCCCTTCATGGGGTAAGGGAAGGCTCTGGCTGTTGGGGCCATTTGGGGTGTGAACCTGTGAAATGGAAGACACCCTCTTTTTTCTCCCTCCCCCTCTCTCTCCCTGTAAATCTGCCTTCCAAGTAAATAAGTCTTTAAAAAGAAAGAAAGAAGTAGCAGACCCTTTGTGCCCTTTCTACACTTTTCACTGGAAATCTACTCTGTAGTATCACAGCTAGGTCAGTGACGCAGGGACTGTGAGACAGAATACTTTGAGCACCACCCCTCCTGATGCTCTTTATTGCCTCACCAGCCAACACTCCAGGCCTCCAACCCAGCAAATACCAAGTTGTTGGCTATTTCTGGAACTGTATCATTGCAAACATTTTAGATAAATGAAATCATATCATATATAACCATTTGGGATTGGCTTTTCCCACTGAGCATATTACCTTTTTGATCCATGTGAGTTGTGTACAGTAATAGTTTGCCCCTTTGTGTTGCTACGTAGTATCTCATGGTATGTTTGTACCAGTGTTTGCTTCACTACTAGTGTTAGAAGGCTTCTGGGTGTTCCCAGGTTTTGGCTATTGAAAAGTGCTATGAACATTGATGTAGTAACTGTTGTGGGGACATAATTTTTGTTTCTTTGGAATAAGTAGTTCAGAGTACATCTGTATGTTTGGGTTTGTAGGAATGTACCACTGTTGTCCAGAGTTTCTGTACCACTTCATATCCACCCAGTGATGCCTTTGCCAGAACCGGGTCTTATATTATTCTTTGGTTAGATGGGTAGTGACAGTGCATTGCAATGTGAAGTTATACTTCTCTGATGACTAATGATGTTGAACATCTTTTCATATGTGTGTTTACCATATGGGAATTCTTTTCAGCAAAATGACTGCGTCTTTTCCCATTTTCTAGTTGTATTGTTTGTGTACGCTATATGGTATATTTGCAAATTTTTTTTCAGATGCACGTCCTTTATTGGATAAGTTTATATTTTCTCTCAGCTTGTAGTTTTTCTTTTCATTCTGCTAATAGGATCTTTCACAAAGCAAAAGTTTTTGATTTTAATGATAACTGCCCTATCAATTTTTTCTATTATGAATTGTGCTTTGTGTGTTGAGCATAAAGTTTGCCTAAATTTAGATCCCCAAGATTTTCTTTTGTTTCCACCCCACATTTTATAGCTTTATGTTTTACATTGAAGCCTATGGTGTGTTTTAAGTCATTTTGTGTATGTGTAAGGTATGAAGTATAGGCTGAGGTTCTTTCCTACCACCCTCCCCCTAACACGTACACACTGGTGAAGTGCACACCACTGCACCAGCCTCAGCTATAGGTTTTTTTGTAGAAGTTGTTTAGTAAATTGAGGTGAATAATAAGTTCTATTCTTATTTCTCTTTCTTGTTAATTTTGTTGAGTTTTTTCCTATCATGAGTAGATTTATCATGGTGGATTTTATCTAGTGCTTTTTCTGTGCTAGTAGATGAAATCGTGACTTTTTAGTTTACTCATAGAATTAGTTACATTGATTGTTTTGTGAAGATTGAACCAGCCTTGCATGCCTAGAATAGATCCTTGATTTTATGTAATTCTTTTTGTATAATTTGGGTTTGCATTTTGATTAAGAATTTTGCTTCTAAATTTACGGGAGATGCTACTGTATTGTTATGTATAGTCTTTGTCTAGTTTGAATAGCAGTAATTTTTGGCTTCATAAAACTAGAAGGTGCTCCCTTCTGTTTTTCTTTTGATTGATCAAGCCCACCTTGTGTATCTTCAGGCCCAGGAACACTTTGCAAAGCTTGAGCAGGAAAGTAGTCCAACTTGTTCTGTTTCCCATCCTCTGACAAGGCACCCGCCATCCTCTGCTGCCTTAACTGAGCCACTTGTCATGTCCGCTGTGTGCATCTGGACATGCTGTCCATTGCACAGGCATCAGCAAGTGAAGAGGCCCAGTCCCAGTTCACACACTCTTAAATCCAGACCACGTATATTGTGATCTTCCCTATGGCTGGGATTTGAGTCCAGTGGTCTAGTTGGAGACTCTCCCAAAAAATCTCAGCTGGTGTTACCTTGGACTTGATTCTTGTGTGCATCAGCCAGTTCAGTGTCACGTTCAGTCTGTTACTTGCACCAGCCAAAGCACATACCAGTAAATGCAGCTGCCTGGTCAGTTCTGCCTCCAGACCCCTCTCTCATGTGAACTGTGAGTGAGAACTGAACGTGCCTAGCTCAACCCAGCCCACCACAGGCCTGGTCTTTGTGCATACTAGTGGGTATCATAGCCTAGTTGACTTAACCCCCAATTACTCCCTCCAATCCCGCCCCAGGCCTGATTTTTTCATATGCTGACATGTGCTGTGGCCTAGCCCAGTCCATCCAAAAACCCATCTGACTCTTGTACATACCCATGGGTCTGCAGCTTAGCTCAGCTCAACTTGCCTTCAGGTCCAGCCCACATATATGCTGATGGGTGCTGCTTCCTTGACCAGCCTGACCTGCCCCCAGCCCTGACTCTCATGTTCACCAGCAGCAGGTATGGCCCAGCAAACTACTAGATCCACTCCCAGTCTTGGATTCTGCGCCTGCCAAGGGGTACTGTGCTGCAATCTGCTTGACTCATACCTAGTCCTGACACTTGCCAACAGGGGCTTCTGCCTAACCCCACCAGCCCACACCCATTCTGGCGTTCATGTGCACCAGAGGGTGCAGCAGTCTATCCCAGCCTGGCCCACCCACAGACCAGTTCACCCTTAGTCCTAGCTCTCATGCTCACCAATGGAAGCAGCAGCCCAGCAAGGGAGTCCCTAAAGTTCCCATACCAGGTTTACTCCCAGCCTCCAAGTCTTGTGTGTGCTAGCAGATGCTACAGTCCAGTCTAAGTTGGCCCACCCACAGTCTCAGCATTTGTCAGCAGGTACTACAACTTTGCTCAGCCCAGCCTGCATCCAGTCTCAGCTCTCACCAGCAGGTGCAGAGCCTAGCCCAGCTTGGCCCACTCCCAGCACTCATGTAAACTGGCAGATGTTGTAGTCCAATCAGCCTGGCCTGCGCTCCATCCTAGCTCTCTCTCTCATGCCAGTGTGTTGCATTTGGCCCAGCCCAGCCTGCCCCTAGACCCAGTTCACACATATGTTAATGGGTGCTGCAGTCTAGCCTGGTCTGACCTGCTCCACCCCTAACCCCAGCTCTTGTTCTCACTGGTGGGAGCTGTGGCCTAGCTCTTACCTGTGGGTGCTACAGCCTTGCCCAACCTAGCCCACCCCCAGATTTGGCTCTAATCTGACCCAGCGGGTGCCCTGACCTAGTCTGACCTATCCCACATCCATTCTGGCTCTTATGAATGCCAGTGGGTGCTGGAGCGTAGCCTAGTCTGCCCACCTCCAAACCCATGCTGACAGGTGCTGCAGTCTTACCCAGCCCAGTCTACCCACAGCTCCAGCTCTCACACTTAACCAGTGGGAGCTGCAGCCCAGCAGGGAAGTCCCCATAGTTCCCAGCCCTGGCACCTGCACATATTAGCAGGTGCTTCAACCCAGCCTGGCATTCAACCCAACCTGACAAGGCCTGCCCACATTTTCAGCTTTTGCTGGCAGGTGTTACAGGTTAGCCTAACCAGGTGTGGCCCACATCCTGTCTTGGCTCTTGTGCATGCCAGAGGGTACTGTAGCGGGTGTTGACTGGCCCAGTCTTGCCTGCCCCAGACCCGCCCATACAAAAGTTAACAAGTGCTGCAACCTGGGCTGGTGTGGCCTACCCCAGGCTGTCCACCATCCCTGGCTCTTGTGTTCTACCATGGGTGACAGGCAATGCTACTTAGCCCATCCTAGGTCTCCCATGTGGGTTAGTGCCTAGGTCTGACTCAGACATGCCCCCAAATTTCCACCCTGTAAACCATGTATTCTAGGCTCCCTCATTTTCTGGGAGTTCAGTGACCCGGTCCATGGAAAAATCCCAGAAGTCACTCCTTCCCTGTCTAACATGCCCTTAGTTGTTCCCACTCTATTACGCCCTCAGACCTCCCTTCTCTTCCTGGGAAACCAGGGTGGCATGTCTAGACGCAGTATTCCTTACCTGCCTTACATATTTCAAAAATACATATGTGTGTTTATATGTGTATGTGTGTGTATATATGAATATGTATGTATGTATGTAGAATAGGTATCTGTGCTGGCACACTGGTGTAATTAACACAAATTTTTCATTAACCAGGACCAGATTGCCTGCCAGCTATTGATTGCTTTTCTCTCAGATGTGTAGCACTTGCCCTAGTATAAGTTAACCTAGGTAATTGCCTAGACCTGGAGTGAGACTTTGTATGTAGGTTTCTGATCTGATTCCATACTGTCAGGCTACTCTATAAGGTTTCATTTGGAAAGCTACTTTTATTTATTTTTATTCGAAGTTTTATTTTTATTTAAAGAACAGATTTTGCAGACAGGGAAGGAGAGAAATGTTTTCCAGCTAGAACTGAGCTGATTTGAGATGGAGCCAGGAGCTTCTTCTAGGTCTCCCATGTGGGTACAAGGTCCCAAGGATGTGGACTACCCTTCTCTGCTTATAAGCAGACAGCTGGATTGGAAGTGGAACAGCTGGAACATGAATCAGTGTCCATATGGGATGCTGGTGCCACAGGGCGGAAGATTAGCCTCCCGTGACACTGTGCTGGCCCGGGGAAGTTGCTTTGTGGCTCAGGAAATGACTGACTTTATAATACCAGATTTTTAGGAGCCCTGTGGTCTTGTCTGATCTGATCCTGTTCCCTCAGCCACTTCAATATGTCAGCGGTAGCTCACCCTTCTTGTCTCTCACAGGCAGATTGGGACAGATAGTATGGGCAGCCTTCCAAAGACCATGGAGGTAGTGTGTATACTGACATCCTGGGCCCTGACAGAAACCCGCCTCATCCTCTCAGGAACCCTTGGTCTTCCTGACCCTTCCCATGACACGTGATGAACACACAATGAAGCTGCTGAGGGAAGGGTGGGGTAGGGACAAGGGAGTAGCCAGTCCAGGCCTGTGCCCCTACACCCTCACCTCTTTCTAATGGGGTGGTAATGGAGGAGGGGCAACTCAGATGCCTAAGAAGCTTAGGCCCAAATCTCGGAGACAGCGCCAGGCTGTTGCCCCCCTCACACAGGTCCGCCGGACGGCCCGTGTCCACCCTTGCAGACAGAATAACCGCAGTGCCAAGAGAGGTCAGGGCAGCCGCCGTGGCCGCCGCCACAGTACTGCACGTAGGCTTGGCAGCCAGCAGCAAGCAGTTGACGCCTCATCTGCTCTGTACAGGACCTACAAGAACAGTGAAGAGCTGCGGTCTCGCATCGCGTCTGGAATCATTACACCTATTCATGAGCAGTGGAACAAGGCTAACGTAAACACTCCCCCACGGGAGTTCCCCCCTGCCACCGCCAGAGAAGTGGACCCACTCCGGATTCCTCCGCACCATCCACACACCAGCCGCCAGCCTCCTTGGTGAGTGCTCCCCCAGCGTGTAGCCTACCCTTCTGCAGATGGAGTCCAGCTACCACTTCTAGATCTCCATGTGTCACAGTCTCAGTGTAGGGGAGAAGAAAATGGAGACATGTGGAGCAGTGAGTTCTTACACTAGCGCTTGTTACACCAGTTGCCTGTATCTGTCCTTTCTGAAGGCCACCCAGAGCCCCTGAGGCTGCCCAAGGTTCAACCGTTAGGAGCTTGTATACAGTAGTCTGCCTTTGCCACCCTGGTGATTCGCAGTTTTCAGCTCTTTGCCTGTTCAGGACTCTGGGCCAGGTTTTTTGAGAAAACACAGAAAGTACCTTTCTAGGAGGCAAGTGTAATCCCTGTGTCTTTCCCATTTCATTTCATTTGTTCCCCTGACCTCTAGCAATTTCAGTTTTCAGATATGAGCAAGCCACATCCAAGTTCTTTGCAGATTAGAGTAGCAGCCTTAGGACTAGACTTCTGTGCTGAGAAGGGGGCAAGGTTCAATAGCAGGGTCAGTACTTCTCAGTTTTGAGTCCATGTTGTGCTTAGTATTGGTGGGACCAGAGGGATATTATGTGCCTTGTGGGTACATAATTAGCAAACACTCAGTAGCCAGAGTATTGGCATTTGCCAAAAATCCAACACCCTAACAATGACAGAAAGCATTTAATAATACTCGGAGTCAGGAATGAGACAGTCAGATAAGCATGTGTAGTCTTTGCACTTTCATACAGAACTAAGCCCGAGATCTAGCCTGGGCAACCACTCAAGGAAAATAAATGAAAGTGTCCAAATTAGAAAGCAAGAAGTAAAACCATCTTTGTGAGATGATGTGAGAGCCTACGTACAGAACATCCTCTTAAAAAGCCAGAACTACCAAATCCAGCAATGTGGTGGGATACAAGATCAATAACCAGAAACCAACTGAGTTTCCATATAGTAGCAGGGAGCATTCCCTCTTTCTGTTTACCACTGCCTTGGATGGCTCTATTGATGTTGATTGCTTTACCATAGCCCCAGCACTGAACCACCATGCTGCTCAGAAACCAAGCATTCACTATCACCTTATATTTCTCAGATGCCAGGGTCACAGAAAAGAAGAAAAAGCTGTGCCTCAAATGGCCCATCTGGTCCATCTGGCAGGTGTTCAGCATCCTGTCACTACACAGCTGCAACTGGTGCTCTGCCACCACAGGGGAGATCTGGGTTAGTTCCTGGCCCCTGACATCAGCCTTCCTAGCTTTTGTGGGCATTTGTGGAATGAATCAGCTGAAAGACCATCTCTTTCTCTATGCCTTTCAAATAAAATGAAAATAAGTAAAAAAAAATTAGGTAACAAACTCACTATGTATAAAAATAGCTCTTTAAAACAAGGAATTTATTAAGAAAAGCAACCTTGTTTTATGTTTTTGCAAATTTCATTTCTGCTTCTCTGCTCAGTCCATAGGGACAGGTTGTTTCAGTTGAGGCCATTTGAAAGGAGACATTTCATGAATTTGAGATAGTTGTGACTCTATTGCACAAAACTTGACAGGTAGTAGTTTCTTTAAGGATTAGTTACACTGTGAATTCTGAGTCCATGTCATTGACCGTTTTGGACATGTGTAGCATAAAGTCCAGGCTGTCATGCCCTTTGAATTTGTCTTTTTCTCTCGTGTGGTATTAGCAGATCATATATTTGATCACCTGGAAAGTATTGGTTCACTGAGATACACAGGTGTGCTGAAAGTTGACACATTTTATTACACAGATTCAGAAAACCGCAGTCACTAATACTCCTGTCAGAGAAGTAATGGGGAGTCCTCAAACTGTTGATGAATACAAATTTCCAAGTTGCTAAATTTTGCTTGAAAACTTGAAGTTTATTCTTGGCAACTAATACTATTCATTGTTTTTCTTGAGTAGATAGGCTCACTTCCTTTTGAAGAAAATATCTACTGTATACCATGTCTGAGTGACTGTAGTTTTGTCATTCTTTCAAGAAAAATGCTTTTGTTGAAAAACTGGTGGAGATGGGTGAGAAAGACCTGCGTTTCGTTAGGAGGTACACCTGACAGAGTGTGTTGAGGGCATGTCTTCATGAAGGGAAGGAGAATTAAGATCCAAGTTTTGTTCTCCTTGACCGTACCATCTCTGTTATGTGGCTAGTGGGAGCTTTAGTGTGTTACTGGAGGTACTTCTCATGTACATATTGTGTCAGTGGAGAGACCTTCCTTAGTGTGCATTCTGTGCAATGACTAGGTTAGGGACGAAACCAGTTTCTAAAGGTTTTGATGCAGATTTTTTATTTTGTCCAGTTGCCTTCCTAAATAATTGTTTTACAAGTGTATTTTACTTGAAAGTCAGAGTTCGCACACAGAAAGACAGAAATATTCCATTGCCACAATGCTGGGGCTGAGCCAGTCTACAGCCAGGAGTTTCCTCTGGGTCTCCCATGTTGGTGTTAGGGCCGAAAGACTTGAGCCATCCTCCACTATTTTCTCGTTAGCAGGGGCCTGGATCAGAAGTAGAGCAGCTAGGGCATGAACTGGTACCCATATGGGATACTGGCGCCACAGGCAGCAGCTTTACTCACCATGCCTCAGCACCAGCCCCAAAATAGTTGTGTTAATTGGCATTCAACTATATTTCCATGTGATTTCCCAATCCTTGCCAGTCCTGTACTTGGTCTCATTTTTCTCTGAAATTATTGAGGAATGATTTGTCATACATATGCATACACTAGTAGAACTCAGACTATAAAGCAGGTAGATAGGGGAAACCGTCATCACAGATGTCACTGTGCTTTCTGCTGTTCTATACAGATCACCATGAATCCTGGGGCTTCAGACTGCACCTGTTTATCTCATAGTTCTCCAGGTCAGGAATACGGATGTATTCAGCTATACTCAAAGTCAGAGTCAGCAGGGCTGCACTTCCTTCTGGAAGCTCCGGGAAGCCCTTTGCTTCCATGTTCATTAAGGTCATTATTAAGGTCACATTCAGTTCCTTAGGATTCCTCTGCCTCAGCTCCTCAGACTGCCTGAGAGTCGTCAGTCATGCTGTGTCAAGTCCTTCACATGCTCCTAGTCTCCCCTTCTTTCTTTCTCTTCTGCCACCAACCAGAGAAAGTGCTCTGCTTTTTAAAAATTACTGTTTGTTTATTAAGGGACAAAGAGCTGCCTTCTACTTTTTCACTCTTCAAATGCTGGGAGCTGGAGCTCCAGCAGTTGCACCACGTAACTAAACAATGACAGGAGTGCTTTCTCATTCTGTTCACAGGTTCTAGGGATGAGGGTGTGTGGAATCTTTAAAGAAAAAAACAAATTCTGCTTACCACAGTCTTTCATCTAGCCTCTCAGATGCAAGCTGTGTCTCCTTGCCCACAAGGGGCCCAGGAGACTTATCCCATTACTGCATCAGCTCAGACCACAGTCTTGTGCAAGAGCTTTATTTTGAAGAGTCCAGATTTCATCATCTGGATCAAGTGTAGGTGGAGGCTCCTCCATATAACTCCTCCCTGTCTACCAACTTGAGTTGACTGCTGCTCTTACCATAGTGGCAGGAGACAGAGGATAACAAGCGGGGAGGCAGGGGGGAGTGCCTAAAAATCACCAGTTGATGCATTATGTATGGTTAAGCACACACCCAAAAAGCCAAGTCCATGCTTATAGTGGATTAAGTAAATTTAAGAATATCCTCCATTTGAATGAATGTTATTTAAAAAGTAAATAGCAAAGACAACTCCATAAGTAAAGTTCCTGTATGGAGGAAAACACTGGGACCCAAAATTAGAATTAAATTAAAAACAGTTGGGATGCCCACATCCCCTATCAGAGTGCCTAGAGTGGAATCACGTCTCCACTCCCAGTCCAGCTTCCTACAAATGCAAACCCTGTGAGGCAGCAAATGATGGTTCAAATGCTATAATCCCTGCCATCCACATGGCTTCAGCTGCTGGAGCCATTTGAGGAGTGAAGCAATGGAGAGAACACTGATCTCCATCTCTCTCTTTCCACGCATTTCAAATAGACTATTTACAGCATGCTTTTGAAAGATGAGGGGAAAAAAAGAATCACAGTGTTCCACTAAGATTATGGTGACACTTTATAATAGTATTAGTAGTGTAATTTTGGGGTGTTTTTGTTTTTTTGTTTTTTTTGTTTGTTTGTTTGTTTGTTTGTTTTTTAATGTTTGCCTGTTTAGCTTAAGCACAGTATTTCTCATCCCTGGCTCACCTTTGAAGTCACAGGTGTCCTCAAGGTGAGGAAAAGGAAAGGCTCGTCAGTGTGCATGTTTAGAGCACCTGGCCCGATGCTGTTTGTATATTCATGCACTCTTGTCTCTAGAGATACCTGACCGAGAAATAACCCAGCCATTTGTAATCCCAGGCCAACAGTGACAGGTCACCCGGGAGTTTGTGAAAAACACAAAACTCAGGCCCCTCCTTTGAGTTTCTGAATTAGCACCTGCATTTCAGCCAGCTCTCCCACTGATGCATGTACATCTTACAGTTTGAAAGTACTGGCCTAGGTGGGTCAAATGATGCTGTGCAACCAGGGGGACTAAGACCTGGCAGTACTCGACTCTTTGCTGCTGGATGTTCCATGGACCTACAGTTTGCTACTCTTGGAGTTGTTCTCCAAGCTTGATGCATTGATAAATGCTGTGTTCCCAACAATTACCCATGGCTGTAGACCCACAGCTATATTGAAGAGAGCCCAGTTGGTACTGGGCACTTCTTGAGAATAAACAACTCCATACTGACTTTGATGTAAAATGCATGCAATAATTAGTTGAGGACTTTGAAAAATCTGCAGGTTAGGAAGGCAAATTAGGAAAGACCAGAGTTTGCACCATCAAACAGATGGGCACTGTGTCCCACCAGCATCCTCTAATCGGAACTCAAAGAAACCTAAAACAAGGAGACAGACATCGGCCCTCACAGCCCCACAGATCTGGTTGAAGGAGCAGGAGAGGGGTCTTCTAAAGCCCTAAGAGGAAGGTCCCTGTGGTTTCCTTTTCTTCTCTTTGCTCTGCTTTTCTGCACCTTACCCATTCACTGTCTACAGACACCTAACATGGAGAGAGAAACCCCCCAGTCATAAGAGAACTCTTCTCAAGGGTGTGAGCCCAACCACTGTGGCTTTTTGTCCACCCTCTGCTTGATTCTGGATGTGAGCAGACAGTGGGACAGTCATGGATAGTCCATGTCAAAGCTGGTAAATTTTCTGGCCAGAACAAAAAAAGGAATGCCCCTTCCCCAGAAAATGGAAAGTACAAAAGGTCATAGAGAGGAAGGTGCTCCTGAAGCATACAATTACACTCTGGGCTCCTAGTCCAACCCTCTTGAGCTGTGTGTTGAGTAGACCTCATCCTGAGTAGCATATCAGAGACTTTGAGAATGAAATTGTGGGTTGTCCAAGACTGGCATTGAATGGCACTACACGGCACAGATCTTGCAAAGGATTTAAAAGCAGATTTGGTATTGAAGCCAGCACTTGAATCCCAAACCCAATTGAATTGACTGCTAAAACAAAAGTACCAGGATTCTCCCAAACTTCACATCAAAGTGTTCAAAATGTGTGAGATAATTACTGGGTGTAAAAGAGTCAAGAAAATTTCAGCTACAAAAAGGGAATAAACAGATGTTGTTATCCAGATAACATCAATCTTGGAATTACCTGACAAAGATTTCTAAGTAACTATTACAAAAGTGCTCCAAAACATCAGGACATAAACAGTCTTGAAACAAATGGAATGAAAAGGAAGTCTCACCCTTAGAGAAAATCACAGGAGAAGCTGGAGAAGCAGCTCACCATCAAGGAGTACCTGTCACTGTTTACACACTGAAACTGCTTCTCTGTAGTCCTATTTACAAATACACACCCACACACGCATGCTTCCCAGGCTTGATTGCCACAGCTGGGGATAATCTGCTTTCCCCCAACACTTGAGCAGGAGCATTTTGAAACATCCTGAAGACATTGTTTCTGTTTCCATGGCTGCATGTAGGCATATACCACGTGGTACCAGTGTGTTTAGGCTGATTCCAGTTTCCTTGCTTTTGAAGTCTTTGTTGAGCATATTTTCATTTGAATTCTATATTTTTAATTTGTAGATTTCTTTATTTTACTTGGAAGTCAGTTACAGAGAGAGGAAGTGACAGACAGATCTTCTATTCTCTGGTTCACTCCCCAGATGGTTGTTACGGCCACAGCTGAGCTGATCTGAAGCTGGGAGCCAGGTGCTTCTCCCAGATTCTCCACATGGGTGCAGGGGCTCAAGACTTAAGAAGCATTTAGTCCTTAGCTTTGGGATTTCGTTTTTAGAATTTTTTTTTATTAAAAACTCTTAGTTTGATGGCGCTGGTGCAGTGGCATACCAGGCTAATCCTCTGGCTGCTCCACTTCCAATCCAGCTCCCTGCTAATGGCCTAGGTAAGCAGCAGAGGATGACTCAGGTCCTTGGGCTCCTACATCCAAGTGGGAAACCCAGAAGAAGCTTCTGGCTTGGGATCAATTGAACTCTGGCTGTTGCAGCCATTTGTGGAATGAACCAGAAGATGGAAGATCTCTTCCTGTCTCTTTTTGTCTGTGTGAATCTACATTTCAAATAAAAATAAATCTTTCAAAAGGGTTCTTGATTTTGTTATACAGATTTTAGAACCTTGAGAAGGGATAAATTAAGTTTATAGAGTTTACTGTTAATATTTTCAGCTTCATGCAGACTTAGGATTATTTGTATGGTTAGCTGTGTTTTGAGCCCTTTTCATGTGTTTGCTACTGTAATATAGATATTCATCTGTGCCAAGGACCGCTTTCAAGGATCCCTTATATCACAGTCCCATGGAGAGCTTTCCCCCTTTCTCCTGCCTGACACTGCTGGTATCAGACTACATTGAGCCCCTGGCAGTCCGGAACCTGCTGCTCTGGGACTTGCAGTAATTGTCCTTTGTTTGTTTCAGGTGTGATCCCCTGGGTCCGTTTGCTGTCGGGGGAGAGGACCTAGACCCCTTTGGGTGAGTACTGCTGGAGAGGTGGTGGCAGCTGAAGCTGCTCCCATGGTTTCTCAGCCCCAGCTCATCTTCTAATTTTAGGATTTTTCGTCAGTCTTCCTTTGGGGTGGGGGCGGCAGCTGTTACCAAGTGGCTGAGCAATCCCTGCCACCAACAGTGCTGTCATACCCAGAATGCGATGCCCCAGTGTAGGGTGACTGTCTCAGGACTGGGCGCTGTCAGAGGAACACGGACCTCCACAGCAACCCGGGCGCTCCAGGCTGCTCCAAGATTGCCTTGTTGGTAAAGGGAGTCTCAGAGACTCATTATACCCTCTGTGGTTCCTGCCATGTGCTATAGAAAATTATTACAACTTCGGTCCTGCACCATGATGTCTACAGAATTCACACTAGATTTTAACCTCTATCACAAGATGACCCCAGCTTAGGCATCTCATCTTTAGATAATGCAGAAATCACTTAAATCTGCGACACGGCCTGAACGAGTGACCCCAGATTTGGGGACTATCTGCTCAGTTATCCTTGTTTGAGCACATGTTCATGGAACACCATGGTAGACAGATGCTGTCAGGAGCCAGAATTGAGCAACCCACAGGCAGTCTCAGTTTGCTCTGAGCCCCTTAAAGGAAAATGGAGCTAAAGAAACTGGTGTAATGGATTGTCATAGTGTTGGTCTTGCAAACTAGCCTAAGGCCCTGTAGAACATTTTGAGAATTCTGCATTGACCTTAGCCAGTTGCAGATCTTATTCTTTAAAAAAAAAAAAAAAGAAAAGAAAAGAAAAAAGATTTATTTTTTATTACAAAGTCAGATATACAGAGAGGAGGAGAGACAGAGAGGAAGATCTTCCATCCGATGATTCACTCCCCAAGTGGCCGCAATGGCCAGTGCTGTGCCGATCTGAAGCCGGGAACCAGGAACCTCTTCTGGGTCTCCCATGCAAGCGCAGGGTCCCAAAGCTTTGGGCTGTCCTTGACTGCTTTCCCAGGCCACAAGCAGGGAGTTGGATGGGAAGTGGAGCTGCCGGGATTAGAACCAGCGCCCATATGGGTTCCCAGCATGTCCAAAGCTAGGACTTTAGCCACTAGGGCACAGCGCCAGGCCCCAGATCTTATTCTTCATCAGAGCATCCCTGATCACGGAATGACAGGGTCCTCAATTTGTAGGCTCGGGGAGGTCTATAGGACCAAAAGCATGGGCCCTGGGAGTTCTTGCTCTTACCCACTTCCTGCTGGATTTCAGGCACCATCTGCATGACTTTGGACCCTCAGTGTAGACACATGTCAATCCTCATCCATTCTCCCCTCTCTTGCCTCTTTGTGAAGGGCATTCCCTGGCATGGCTGTTAACCTGGTTTGCCTTCTTGCCTCAGGTGTCGAAGAGGTGGCATGATTGTGGATCCCCTAAGATCTGGCTTCCCAAGAGCACTTATTGACCCATCCTCAGGCCTCCCGAACCGGCTTCCGCCAGGCGCTGTACCCCCAGGAGCTCGCTTTGACCCTTTTGGACCCATTGGAACCAGCCCATCAGGGTAGGTATTCATCCACATATGCTGGGAAGTGGGCCTGAGGACAGCTGGGCTCTGTGTGGTGGCCACTGCAGTCTCAGATGCCAGACCCAGAGTTGCTATCGCCCCTGCTCACTGATACCAGGAGAAAGTGCAGCATCAGCCACAGGGCTGCCTGCTACCTCCTGGGAGCCTTAGGAGTTCTCTAGCTCTGACTGCCTGCCTTCCCTGGCTCCCTCCAGGGAGGACTCAGGAGGAGGAGCTAAGACTTAAATATGTGTCAGATGCTCATTGCATCCTGATTAGGCAGTACTGTCCATGCCTTACAGATGCAACACTGAGGCTCTGAAAGGTTAGAGACTCAGAGGTCACACCCAGGCCACCTGGCTCTGGAGGTCACAGTCTGAACCTGCATACTGCACATCCCACTGCAGGGCAGGCTGCCTGTGCACCCAAGCCCTGCCACGCTGAGACTCACCGGCCCCTCTTTCTGTTCCAGACCAAACCCCGACCATCTCCCGCCACCGGGCTACGATGACATGTACCTGTGAAGGCCTCAAGAATGTAACATCCCAGCCTTCCCTCCACTCTCCTGGAGCTGCCACCACTGGCCCCGTCAGCAGTAGTGTTACCACGGGTTGGAGGCAAGGGACTTTGCCCATGTGTTTGCAGGCTGGCTGGAGTTGCCTCCCCTGCCCTAATCAGAGCCAGGGCACCTGCTGCAGCTCTCCACCTGGCTGCATATAGGTCCCAAAGAAAAATCAGTGTCTTTCTCATTACCAGCTCCTCCCTGTTTCCCAAGGGAGCCTCCGGCAACATACACCCTCCACCCGATGCAGTCCCAGTTGCAGCGCTATAAGAACAGAACGCATTTTGGATGTTATTATTGAGAACCAAATGTCAATACAAAATTCAAGTTGCCGGTCTCCCACTTTTCCTTTTTGCTTGGATGCACAGCTCCTTTGGTTGGAGCCTCTATGGGCTCTGTGGCTCTCTTCCTGCCCAGCACCTGCTCTTGCTCCTCGGGCACCTTGTGCTCATAAGTTGCTCTCCCTCCTGATGTGCTGAGATAGGTCTGGGTCTGCTCCTCGGATAGAAATGAGTGACTAGCAATGCCTTGGCCTCTTAGGAAGGGCAGGCACATTATGGAAAGCCTGCCATAGCCTGATAAGCAGAATAAACAGAGCAGACCTAGAGGCTAATCTCATTTTTGCCCCTCTGTACTGAGCGACCCTAAGCAAGTTCTGGATCGTCGACCTCGACCCCACCTTGGTGAAAGCCAAGGACCTATCCTGTCCTCAAACACTGTGATGCGTCTGTGGATGGCAGCCTGGGCACTGGGGCAGACAAGAGCAGACTGGAAGTCAAGGCTCTCTGTGGTACTTCTTACAGAGCTGGTCATGATCTTACAGTAAAGATCATGGCAGCACAGGCTCTGGCTAAGTGTAATGGTGAGCTTCAGTGGGAACAGAAAGCCACTGTCCTGTGTCCAGGTCCACCTGATGTTTGGTGTTCTCCAGAACCCAACAGATAGGCAGTGATGAGCCCCTGGTGTGAGGTGGGAAAAACACCCTCAAGCCACTGGCCCAGAGGAACAAACCAGGGCCCTAGTCACCAGCATCTCGGCTCGGCTCCTCGATCCACCCCCTGCCTGAAATCAACATGCATGCCTTAGCTGGGGCAGCAAGCTCCCATAGCTGGGCGAGGAATCTGCTAGATTGTTTTCTATATTGCTCCTCTGCTTAGCCTGAGGACGGGTAGGAGTAAGCTAAACTGACCCTTTGGGCCAGTGCCTGGATTGAGCCTGGATCTGGGTGGCAGGAGGCTGGCAGGTGTAGGCCTCCTGGGAATTGGCATTAGTCTCCTTGTCAAGCACCAAAAACCCAGAAAAAGGCTTGCTGGCCACCTTGAACCTTGTAGAACCTTTGTGCTCGGGAGACAGGCACAGAAGCAGTCCTTACTCATAACTCTTCTCTGAGGACTGGCATGCGAGTGGAGTGTGAGTTCTGGTTTGGGATCAGATGATAACTGAGCCAAAGGGATTGAAAGCAGTTTGCTCACAAAGACATCCTTGACTATGAAAAAGAGCATTTATAAAAGAAAGATCGGACTGGAGGCCAACCACAGTCAGGGAGGGTAGAGAACTGTCAAATCTGATTCAAGGGAAAAATAAGATTTAGAAGTAAATTCACCACTTAGGTATATTAGAGCCAAGGTTGAAACTATAATGATATGTGTACTTCTGTTTTCTAAAAGCAGAAAATGTAGCGATTCAATTTCAGAATCAGCGGTCTGTTGTTTGGGTCTCCTTGCATCAAGGACGCTGGGAAGGAATACAGGCAAGGCTTTAAATGCTGCAGCAGGAAGTGAGCAGGGTCTATCAAAACTGCCTAGTCACTGTCTTTGTGCTGGCTTTGAGCTGGGCTGCTTCCCTCCTGGGATCCTCACCCAGCAGCAGGTGGGACTGTTGCGGGTGTGTGCTTTGTAGAACCCCCAAGTTAGAGCCTTACAATAAACATCTGCACTTCATGACCTGTTGTCTTTTTCTGAATAATGGCTTTATTGATATATAATTTGCAGACCAGTAAGTTCAGCATTTTCAGGTATACAATTCAGTGAGCTTTAGTATATTCACAGTGCATCCACCATCATACACAATTCCTGAACATGGTCACTACCCTGACATGAGGCCATATACCCATGATCAGTCACTCCCTGGATCCCCTCTCTCAACCCCCAGCCTAGGAAACCACCAGTCTATCTTACATCTCTCAAGATTTGCCTGTTCTAGATATTTCTCGCAAATGCAGTCACTCCATGGTTGCCTTTTGTCTCTGGCTTTTACTTGGTGTAATTTATTCACATTGTAATGTGTCAGTTTTCATTCCTTTACGTGGCTAAATAATACCCATTGCCTGAATATGTCAGTATGTCACATTTTGCCTACACATTTACCAGTTAATGGGCAGGGAGGTTTCTGTAACTTTTTGGCTAGTGTGAATAATGCTTCAATGAACATTGTTATAAATTTTTGTGTGGACAGGTGATTCGATTCAATTTAGGTGTATAGCAAGGAGTGGAATTGCTGGGATACATGTTAACCTCATGTTTATTAACATTGTAAGACTACTAAATTTTTTCACAGCAGCTGCACCATTTGGCCCTCCTGCCCTAACTTGTGAGGGTTCCATTTGCTTCACACCCTCGTGGTGGTTACTCTTCATCATGTTATCACCATCTTGAGGGTGTGAAGTATCTTCTGGTGGCTTCCCCCTTCCCGCCCCCCGCTTTTAAGATTTTGTTTTCCTGGGAAAATCAGATATACAGAGAGGAGGAGAGACAAGGTCTTCCATCCACTTCCATCCAATGACTGGAGCTATGCCGACCCGAAGCCAGGAACCAGGAGCTTCTTCCAAGTCTCCCACTTGGGCACAGGATCCCAAGACAGGCAGCTGGATGGGAAGTGGGCTGCTGGGATTAGAACTGGCACCCATATGAGATCTAGTGTGTGCAAGGCGAGGACCTTAGCCTCTAGCTACCATGCCAGGCCCTCCCCTGCCCCCCCCCTTTTTTTTTTAAGTAGAGGTCTGAACAAGGTAGAGACCAGTGTCACTCATCCCGAAAAACAGACCATAGATGACCATGGCTGGTGAGCTGCAGAGGAATTGGGTTTGACTTCTAGGAGATCATTCTGGGCTACGTGTGATGCAGGAATATTTCCATGGCCTCTTCTAGCGAGATTCACAGGATTCATTCTTGCTTGGTGTGAAATTTCATTGTTAACAGGCACAATAAAGGTCGTCCTAAGTCACTTTCCTCTGCTAGTAAAGCGTCATAGGCCATTCAGTTGTACTGTTTCTGGGATGCGCTGATCCACATCCCACCTTCTCTTGCTTGGCTTGTCTCCTCCTCACTTGTCATACCTGGCTGGGTTTCTCATTCCATTTACCTAATTGTGAGCATCTGCTTCCTCCATTGAGAAGTCAAGAATCCCTTAGGTCTCAGCTCCCAAGAATGTATACTGCTCAGGGTGGAGACTCCACCCCTGGGCTGGGTGATCAATGCCTGTTGACAGGAGTTCAAAAGAGGGCAGCACATCCCACACAATCTCCCTCTAGAAGCCAGCTTTTCTCATGGCACCCCTTTCTGTTGCCAGTGAGGGCAGTCTGTTACTGATTTGTATATCTTCACAGCAGGAATACTGGATGCTGTAGATCAGTTGATACTCTGTCAACTATTCTTGTTCATTTTGATACATTTCCAGTAGAGACAGGTCCTGCCACCAAGGAAAGGAAACACTGCCCACATGCACACCCCAGCTTCCCTGTCAGACCTTTCATGTGTGTGAGCCATACTGACTTTTTGTACCAGGGGAAGACTCAAAGGCATCCAAGTCCTCAAGCATTATTTGTTCTTGGAATACCAACAAGGCACACCCCTTGTGGCCTTGAATCTGCCTCATGAGGTTGGGTCAGGAAGCAAAGTGGCAGCCAAGGAGGGGTGGCAAGGCCCAGGTGGCTAAGGAAAAAACCCCAGAATGAAGAAAAAAAAAAACAGTCTGAATACACCAGTAGGGCAGAGATGGAGGGAATTACAAAGTAGAAGGCCTACAAAAACATGAGGCTGATGGCCCATTTCAAGAGCTAAATAGCTATATTACATGAGCCACACAAGGGGAATGTTGTGAGAGTCACAATAGGATAGGGATTCAGAAGGAGGAGAGCCCTGCTGAAGTGTTAGGCCTGGGCTCAATTGCAGTAAATGGAAACTCATTTGTTCAGCCAAAAAGGTTAGGATGCAAAGAGCAGTGGGATTGCGTCATCATCAATGCTATGAGTTAGTGCTTAGGTACTACAGAGCTCTACAGCAACCACCTGAACCTGCAGCAGAAATCTGAAGCCCTTCATGCTGCCAGCGTGACCCTACTCAGACCAGCTCCAAGTTTAAGGTTCATCGAATGCACCTGATTGCTGGAACCTACATCACCTCTCAACCTATGGCTACAAGGAGGCCATTTTTCCATTTCCTACCTCTCCAATCAGGAAGGTGCATTGGGACAGAGGTCTAGTGAGCCTGTCTCCCATGTCCATCAGTGTCACAGGCCATATGGATACACTACAGCCTTGCCTGCCAAGCCTAGCTCCTGAGACATGTGATTACATCCCAGGGCCCTGCCGGATCACTAGGCAAAGGCTGTCAGAGCCATTTTTCGCATTTTCTCTGGCTCAAGTGAACATGCAAATTTAAAAACTGAAAAGGGAAAGGAAGACAGACTTTCTGCATCCTTTATGCTTCGGCCATCAGCAGCGGCGGCAGCAGCTGGGAACTTGTCAGGAATGCAGACTCCTAGGTCCCACTCAGACTCAAGAACAATCTTCATTTCAACACATTTTCCACTTATTCATAAAATTTAAGAAAAAGTTTTAAAGTTCAGATATAGAATTTGCACCTCTGTATCAGGTGCAACGCATGATAAGTCAGTCTTTCCTGCTTGATGACACACGATTAGTGCAAAGAACCCTCTTGCTTTAAGTGTGCCTTTAATGTAACCCCAGTGTCATCTTCACTCCCTTGCCTTCATGGGTCACCCAAAGGTGTTTCATGTATAATTTATGAATAACAAATATCTTTATAAGGTGGCATTCGTTATATCTTTAAACTATATGTGTCATCCCCATTTTCTAGACAGAGGAAGAGAGGTTGGAAAACTCTCCTAACTAACTTCCTCAAGTCCCAGCAGGAGGAGTTTCAGATTCAGGAAGGCATGGTGTGACTCTCAGCACTCCCCTTGCCCAGGGCATGGCCCTTCTCTGCAAGGTGAGCATTAGTTGCAGGATTGCTGTAGGGTCTATCCCAACAGTGTGTCCTATTAATAGCCAGTGGGGACTCAGCAGGTGCCAGCTGCTACTATTACTGAGGCCCCATGGGTAGTTAAGGCTGGGGCTCTGGAACAGGAGGAGAGAACCTTGGGCTGCCTCCCAGTATGGCGGTGGGGAGAGCACTTGGCATCTGCAGAACCAAGTTAGGACCTGTGTGAAGGTACACAGCTCTCCAAGGGTCTGAAACTCTGAAATCTGTTGTTTGCCAAGTGTCACTCTGTTCCTACCTGAAATCATGGTTCCCAGGTTGAAGGAACACTTAAAATTACCCAGTAAAACCTTCATTCTGCAAGCAAAGAAACAGGGCAGCCCAAAAAGCCTATGAGGTTAAATGTCCGAGAGCTCTCTCTGGGTCCCAGGGATGTGTGCAGCAACCGCTCACCTAGGCTGCTCACCTGGTCTTCAGAATTTGGCAGAATGGGAACTACTCTTCCCCACAGAGCAGGGAAAGAGGTAGGACCAGAGCTACTGAATGAGTGACTTTCCCAAGCCATAGAGACAAGTTTCCTAGACTAAGGCATTCAGACTAAACAGAAGACAGCAATATGATTCAGCACCCTGGTCAGCTCCCATCCTGTGTGAATCTGCTTAAGATGGGCATTAGGCCAAGTTAGGTCAAATCACTGGGGCCTGCTCCACTTGGATCAAATGATCCACTCCTGAGAACAGGCAGACATCACCAAGAAGAGGGAACTGGACCCAGATTTCTTACCTGAATATAGAGCTTGTCCTCCTGCACACTAGACCCATAGGAGCCCTTTGTCCTTTCTTACTTCCTGAGGAGATGAATTCAAGTGAGACACATGGTGACCTGGGCAAATTCTCTCCCCTGTGGCTTTTCCCATCTGAAAATTGAAATAAGGGTGCACCTGACTCCAAAGTCTTCCCAATCCATAAGACTCCTTGGTCCTAAGTAGGTGTGGGCCTGAGTTCAGACTCCCACATCTACTTCTTCCTCCCCTACCCCACAGATCTTCCCAGCTCACATGTAATCCCAGATCTCAACGTGACAGCCTCTCCCTCCACCCCCAGCCAATGTTCTGACTGTCCTGTTAAATTTGATGTAATACATGAGGCAGGTTATTAACATCATTCTGCTTTTCACCTGCTACTTGACCTTTACATGCCCTGGACAAAGCTTCTCGATGTGTAAAACGGAGGCAATGACAGGACCTCTCTGTTGTGAAGTATGAGCGAGCAGGAGTAGAAAGGCATAGAACACTCTGCTGTTAAAAAGTTGTCTACTTCGGGCCCAGCACAGTAGCCTAATGGCTAAAGCCCTTGTCTTGCACACACCAGGTCCCATATGGGTGCCGGTTCGTGTCCCTGCAGCCCCACTTTCCATTTAGCTCTCTGCTTGTGGCCTGGGAAAGCAGTGGATGAAGGCCCAAAGCCTTGGGATCCTGCACCTGCGTTGGAAACCTGGAAGATGCCTCTGGTGCCTGGCTTCGGATCAGTTCAGCTCTGACCATTGTGGCCACTTGGGGAGTTTAATCAGCAGACAGAAGATATTCCTCTGTCTTTCCTCCTTTCTGTATATCTGACTTTCCAATGACAATAAATAGATCTATTTTTTAAAAGTTGTACATCTCATGCTTCTTTTCTGCTTTTCATCTGACTTAGCTCTGTCAAACTTCCCTCTCTCATTCA